AAACCAGTCTGTTTTATTACTCTAGGGCTTGCTGTATGGAATAATTGCTGATGCTCATTTCAAGGTTGTTAACGGCAGAAACCGCATTATACATTTTCCACGTGCTCCCTAGGAGTCATAATAGATAACTGACCTAAAATGACCCAGGTCAACATTTTGTTTTTGGGACAGTACTGCCTAGCGTAAACTTTGTCGCTTATTCAAATGCAAAACTCAGAGCAGTCTTGTATTATTTCGCTCAACATAACCTTCAAAAGGCCAAATGAGGTCACTGACCTTACAGGAGCATGTGACCTTTTGCTTAGAACCAGTTATCTAGGTTCTGTGGACACTTTGGAGACCAAGCTGGAATTTGACCTTGTTCGACCTGATTTGACCCGAAGGTTATAACCTAAGAACCTCAAACCTTGACCTAAGTGAGTTCACGTACAGTTCAACACACCCTGCAAATTCGGTGTTCCTAGCTTTCTTAGTTCCCGAGATCTCAGGAGGGTCAAATTGACCCCCGAGCGAAGGTCATCCAGCCGGCCACCCGGGCGCGTGTTAAAGACATGTCAGTGCATCAGACACCTATCCCACGGGTAGATCTGATTTTGTGATGAGCTCATCACCGTAGTAAAAAAGATGCAGCAACGTGAGTGTTATTTTCTATGAAACCCGTCTCGAACATCACAATTTTATACGGTTCTCCAGCAGTCCGCAGGTATTCTGGTTGTGCTATTTACATCATCGTCATCTGACACTAAATAACCTCATTCGTCAGACAGTGCAATCACCAATCCTGCCGAATGTGTTATGCTGCTTCACTGCTGTGGGCGCAGCAGCCGCACAGGTACCGCGTTCGAAAAGTATTTTTCAGCCAAAGTGATACTTGTGATACGAATACCAAAGTGATAGCAAGCATTTGAAAGCGTGATCATTGTCAGTACCGTGCGGAGGCAGCTGGGCTGGCTGAATGTGGGTTAAACGCTTTAAGCGCCACGTATACGACATGCTTACAGAAGTACAATCGCATGGTCGGTGAAGAGCCAATCCAGTTCGCAGCGCGGTTACAATCAACCTGCGTCGCACATGCCATTGACATGACGGCCGGCTCTAGTTTGCCACATGTTTGAACTGGAGCGGGTGAGGGCCGTTTTCTGTTCAGAAGTGCAAGACCTTGGAACAGTGTCCTCAGAGGAACTGCAGGCTCCTTCTTATATATATATATATATATATATATATATATGTGTGTGTGTATATATATATATACACATATATATATATATATATATATATATATATATATATATATATACAAACACACACACACATATATATATATATGTGTGTGTGTATATATATATACACATATATATATATATATATATATATATACAAACACACACACACACACACATATATATATATATATATATATATATATATATATATATATATATGTATGGATATATTACACACAGGTACTGAGCAGCGACGTCAACGCAATTTGTTGACAAAAGGCGAGGGCCGTCACTTGAATGTGGACGTCCCGCAGAGATCTATTATTGGACCCATTAGTGTCGCGGTCGCTGACTTCTCAAGTTCTCTTGCCCATGGACGTCTGCTGCACCGCACGACTGTCACGCAGCTTGCTGTGTAGTGGCGATAGTTAACTCAAGGTTAGAATTCGCGCAGGGGAGTCAATGACATTGCTGCTCAACTGGTTTGAAAAGGGCTCCGTGGTGACGAACGCGTCAAAAAGCTTGATTCTGCTGGGCACCAAAGTCTGCAAAATTAACCTAAAATCTTTCAATTTTATATTTCTGGCAGCTTTGAGTCTTCGAAAAAGACCAAAATGTTTGGAGTAACCATGGACCAGTTACTTACCCTCAATCGGCACGTCTCCTATTGCGCATCAAGTGCACGGCCTCCTTATTTCTTTGATTATATTTAGACGTCACTTTACTTTCAATCCCTCATCATGGTGCTTCGGGCCATATTCTCTGCAAGTAATCTACTGTTTGTCCGTCTGGGCTTGGCGCAGCGCGCTATCAGCTAAATCGCGTTTAACGTATGACACCGGCGACTCTTACAGCGGCTGACGTATGATGACGCGATCACATTACCCAGGCCCTGAACTTGCATTACTGCTCAAGGACCGGTGAGCTAGCGGAGCGCGACTGCCTGAAAGTGTGCCGCGGTCTCCAGTGTTAGTGGCCCAGTAGTCGTTCAAGCCATGTTTGCGCGATGAATTAGTCGAGCTACATGTGCGGCAGGCACAGAACGGCTCCATCTGCCGAGATCGCAGCCCGTCAGCACACGAATTGTTCTGCATATCGAGCTGCGTCGGTATAAAATGGTTTTCCCGCCGACGTGTAGAGGCTTCCGGCATTCGGGAGAGCAGAGACGTGGTCCGCCAGCATGCGGCCTAAGTCGCGATTCTATGCTTGCATGTCGTACGTTCACATTGGTCTTAAAGTGGGTATGTGTCCAATTAACATGAATCGCTGTTACTCCCGCATTTGAGTCTGTTTGCACAGTGCTTTTATCACGCGGTGTCCTGAAATAACCGTACATATACGGATGGGCACAAACTACACGAATGGAAGAAAAAACAATACAAAAGCGATATTCAGCGCAGCGACCCACCGCCACAGCTCAACGGAATGGTCGGATCCAACCGCAAGCACCGCCTCCACCTCGCCCGAGCCCGCGCAGCCCCAGATCCTCCCCCCCCCCCTCTGTCGAAGCTCAGCACGACTTCCACATGAGTTCTTTCCAGGCACGCAGCCAGGATTTTCTGAGGCGGGGGGGGGGGGGGGGTAAAGAGCTTGGTGAGCACGCATCACGCCGATTATGGCGCCAAAAGCTTTACTTCGGGAATCATGTATGGCCAACAACACAAAAGTTCAGGCTTTCGGGGACCCATGGCTGCACTCTTGGTCCTGCTGGGTGTGATGAACAATCCAATGTCTTTTGAAGGGTCATGGATGACAATGCAGGAACTCAGGGGCTCAAATGGCACGACTCGCTTCTAAAAGTTAACACCGATTGAGTGATCAAAGCGACAAACTTCTGTTTATACATGCTGTTTTTGGGATCATCGTGTCACCTTGAAAAGGACCCACTGCTTCAAAAATGCCTGGGGGAATGCTGATCAGTATTCTTACTTTGATGGACACTCTGTCAGATCAGTGGTCAGGGCTGGCCTCAAACGAAAAGAGAATCCCCGCCACTAACGTTGCTGGGGAACATTCCGACATTCTGCTAACGCTGCGTACCGCGGGCGGCGTCGACAATTTCCATAACGCATCTCGACATTTGTACACCGTTCGCTCAACAAATGTGCCCTGAAACAATTATTAAATCATGTTGAAAAAGAGCCTTACAATACAGGAACATATCGCCTAAGATAGCTTGTCTGGCCTTTGTGGTCCACAGCGTAATATACCTGTACGTAGATACAACCACGCACGTGAGGTCGTCAGCTACATCGGATCGTGAGTCCCTGCTCACCGAAGAAACCCCTGCCGACCGGCGGAGTCATTTCTGATGGCGGTCAGTGGAAAGCCACTTATCAGCCGCTTGGCTTTCGTTCATTGCCGTCAGCAAGACCGAGACCAGCTGGCCATGGCCTGTTTAAATCCAAACCCAGAAACTTGGAGTACCGCCGTTATAGGCAGCGACTTCATATAACGTAAGACTAAATGTATGTACCTTTATCATCGAAATCTACGTGTGATCCAGCACTGTTAAATGAAGTCAGCTAATGGAAAACATTTATTACTGCTGTCGATATTCTGAAGCATCATACGGTATACAAAACAGAGCAATGCGATACACATGATGCTTGTGCAAGATAAAACACAGAATTTCCTCTGTCTCAGAAATAATTGTCGATGCAATTCATGCAGCCACCCAGACAAACGTCACAATGATCTAGACCATCCGAGGAACAATGCCAATGTGGCGTGACACTGGACCTCCGACCCGTATTAACCAATGTGCTAGCCCGTTAACACATCCATTCTCGCACAGCAAGGGCTCTAGTCATTCGTAACCTGTTCAGACCATGTCGTGGGGCAACGGCACGCTACGACCACTCTAAAGGTGTGGAAGTAGAACTATTTTTCCGTACCTGCTCTTGTATAGGCTAAACATAAGCCTCCTACTTAAGAGCCCGCTTCCTGGTATGAGCACGAGCAAGGTAATTAACACCCCTGCAATATCAAACATGACACATTCAATGGGAAGAATGCTATAGCAGGAGAGAACAATGTCCACAACTGAATCAGCATGATAAACTAAGTTGACGATGCAATACATACAATTTGGTAGCATACGGACAGAATAAGCGGATCATGCGCTGACAGTTGTGACGAAAGTGCGCTGCCACACACACACCGAAATGGAGAAAAGCAAAAAGGAAGAAAACATGACAACTAAAGCAGATGAAGAGGGCTTAATATGATGACCACCACACCACGTCAGCAGCCACAGCTGTTGCGCCGCCCCGGTGTATCGAGCCGCGCCCCGCGCCAGTGTACACGGCGGCAGGGCAAGTCAGTCGAGCCCAGCCCCAGTGTCGCCTCAGCGGCTCCGACCAACAGTCCAGCCTCAGCAACCTCGGCCAGCCGTCCCGCCTCAGCAGCCCTGACCAGCAGTCCGGCCTCAGCAGCTCTGGCCGGCAGTCCGGTCTCAGCAGCCCTGGCCAGCAGTCCGGCCTCAGCAGCCTCTGCCAGCAGTCCGGCCTCAGCAGCCCTGGCCAGCAGTCCGGCCTCAGCAGCTCTGGCCAGCAGTCCGGCCTCAGCAGCCCTGGCCAGCAGTCCGGCCTCAGCAGCTCTGGCCAGCAGTCCGGTCTCAGCAGCCCTGGCCAGCAGTCCGGCCTCAGCAGCTCTGGCCAGCAGTCCGGCCTCAGCAGCTCTGGCCAGCAGTCCGGCCTCAGCAGCCCTGGCCAGCAGTCCGGCCTCAGCAGCCCTGGCCAGCAGTCCGGCCTCAGCAGCTCTGGCCAGCAGTCCGGCCTCAGCAGCCTCTGCCAGCAGTCCGGTCTCAGCAGCCCTGGCCAGCAGTCCGGCCTCAGCAGCCCTGGCCAGCAGTCCGGCCTCAGCAGCTCTGGCCAGCAGTCCGAGCGTCGATCGCCGGCGGGGCCGGTCGCAGCGACCGGAACAGCTCGACGCAGTGGGCGGCCGGCGGCCGGTCGGCAGCGCGCTCCGCTGAGCACACGGCGTAGATCTCGACGAACGGACGGTACTCGGTCATCACGGAGACCGAGTACTGCGGTAACGGCGGCGGCACCCCTGCAGACAAAGGCCAGAACCAGTCAGCACCTCTGCAGACGCAGTTCGAGACCAGTCAGCACCCCTCCGGACACAGGGTGTGACCAGTCAGCACCCCTGCAGCCGCAGAGTGTGACCAGTCAGCACCCCTGTAGCCGCAGAGTGTGACCAGCCAGCACCCCTCGAGACACAGGGTGTGACCAGTCAGTACCCCTCCAGACACAGGGTGTGACCAGTTAGTACCCCTCCAGACACAGGTCGTGACCAGTCAGCACCCCTCCAGACACAGGGTGTGACCAGTCAGCATCCCTGTAGCCGCAGAGTGTGACCAGTCAGTATCCCTCCAGACACAGGGTGTGACCAGTCAGCACCCCTCCAGACACAGGGTGTGACCAGTCAGCACCCCTCCAGACACAGGGTGTGGCCAGTCAGTACCTCTGTAGCCGCAGAGTGTGGCCAGTCAGTACCCCTCCAGACACAGGTCGTGACCAGTCAGCACCCCTCCAGACACAGGGTGTGACCAGTCAGCACCCCTGTAGCCGCAGAGTGTGACCAGTCAGCACCCCTGTAGCCGCATAGTGTGACCAGTCAGCACCCCTGTAGCCGCAGAGTGTAACCAGTCAGCACCCCTGCAGCCGCAGAGTGTGACCAGTCAGCACCCCTCCGGATACAGGGTGTGACCAGTCAGCACCCCTGTAGTCGCAGAGTGTGACCAGTCAGCACCCCTGTAGCCGCAGGTCGTGACCAGTCAGCACCCCTTCAGACACAGGGTGTGACCAGTCAGTGTACGCACATGTAGATACGCCCACAGTGCGACGCGATAGTTTGTTTGTTCGATAGTTCGATATTCTGTCAAAGCACTTGTAATCCTATTCAGCCGCCAGTGGCGGGATGGGTTTGTGTCGCTTTAGGCGCTCTCTTTTGGCCCGTCTGGGATGGCCGGCGGCCGATGGCAGCAGTCTGGATAAATGTCAGGAGACACCAGGGGGCAGGACGGACAGTGGCGAGCATGGCGGCAGGCACTTTCGCCACAAAATTATGCCGTTCCTACACTTTCATCATCACAACAAGCGCTGCTTAGCGTTGGCCATGGTCCCAGAAATCAGTCCCTTTAAAGGTTAGGGAGAAACCTTCAACAACACATAAAACATGAAAACATGTTGACGGTCGGGGGCAGGGAGGAAAAGCAGCGTTCCACGTTTGCGAAGCAGACATATCCGACGTCCGTCGCATTAGCGCCCGCAGTCGGCAGCATGCAAAGCTAAAGGAAAGATATTTTGTGGAACAATTTACAATTTCCCGGGGTCGGCACTGGCCCCTTTTACCATATATTTCCCTCCAAATTGCGCATGCGGCCCATGACCAAGTCAATTGGGTTAAAGGACATTTTTCGCGTTCGAAGATATTGAAGCAGACGTTAGATATGATGTGCTGCCAAAATAGCCGTACGAAATCGCCACCCTTGCACTCACTCGTGGTCCGTCAAACTCGCAGAGAGAGATAGCAGCACGATGCTGAGTGCTCGCTGGCCCAAACATCGCTATTTGCGTGTTTTGGTCCTTCTTCAAGTTGTTCCTGCATGCTTACCCGTGAGTTCAGGAACTTTACTATTATTCACGTACTCAGTTATGGCGTTTTTCTAACTTCATTCGATTGCAAGTCTTTAACCCGTAACAGCTAGCCATCTTATCCAGCTTCTAATACTACATACGATACAACAAACTTCGTGAATGAGTTGGCACAGCATTGATGGATAGCTAATTGGCGTCCATTATACCTGGTTATAGTGTGCACAGATACTAGACCCAAATGGCTCGACGATAATATTATGTTTAGCCTCGAACACCGCTCGGGCAGCGTGGTGCAAAGACTTGAATGATGTTGCTACGGCGTCGTGCATGTTTGAATGGTCTTGGAAAACTCGTCAGAAAGTAGTCCGCACAACTTCGCGGGCGTGTGGCTCGGAAACTAGACACAGTTCAAGGTCTTAAGAAGAGCAGGACTAAACCGCACCGGATGATCTTTGAAGTGTCTGCTTCAGTTCAAACCCTGTAAAATATGGAATACTCCATTCAATTCTTGAACGGGTCAGGGATAAATGATAGGGTGCCGATAGCGTAGCGGCTAGCCCATCTGCGTTAATCACTTGTGCGTCTGTGAAACAAGAGGTACGAGGTTCGATTCCCCGCGGTGCCCGCCTTTCCTAACAGGGTAAGAGGCAGTCGACATCATATTGCACCAGCAGCTAAGCGTGTCGTAAAGTCCCATGACGACAACAGGGGTAGATGACAGGGTAAAACTCCATCATTCGCGTACTGCAGTGACATGGGAACATGACGCACGTCGCACGAGTCAAACAAGGTAATAACACATCTCCTGTTCGGTGGCAGCATATGTAATGCTGGACCGATAGTATCAATTCGTGCTGGAGGCCGACCAAAAGAAATGAAGGGCTACACACAGAAATGGTACGTGATGTAATGTACACAATGTACACGGTGACAGTCGAGGGGGTTCCGAGAAATTTCTAATTTTGTCACACGTCAGTTGGTTTTTATCTGTGCCAGAAAAACACCACTTCGGAGATGGTCGTAACAGGCAGCTCAAGGCAAAATGGGATCAGTCCTAGCACAACGCGCTTCAGTGTGCATAAGACCACGTGGACGGGTAAAACGATCGTCAACTGCAAATCCGCGGAAGGGCGCGGGTAACGATCCAGCAGTGCTTTACCCCGCTCCAGGCCAGACGTGACAAGTCCCCCAGGGGAGAATACGGGGTTCTCAAGGAGCAATTGCAATGCAGTCAGATCATGTCTGAACAAAAGGGATTAACTGTCAGGCAGCACCAACATGTAAGCGCTGGGTGGAACGTGGTGTTTTCACCACACACACCGAACCAAAACTAGCGCAAATAGGAGCCCAAAACAGACAGTGCCTCCGCTGACATGTTACAACTCATTAACGCCAGACCATCAGCCACAACATTGCATTCTCGCAACCATGGCGTCGAGTGAAGTCTTTACGATGTGGTGGGCACTCTTCCTTGTGCGCGCGATTCGGGACGTTCGTTTGAAGGAAGAGCGGCTTATCTGATCCATTCTCCGACAACGCGTTTCAGATCATTAGCTTCAGTGGAGAGTTCTGTCTTGCAATGTCCGACACCAAGTGTTCGGTGCTCTGTTATCAGCGCTCTGTCTACCTATTCGCCATGCTTTGTTCCGTTCAAACGGAAACACGCTTCATCATGCCTAATCAGCCGTCGTTTTCACAATTTCGCACACGGGCTATCGTCGACCCCCTCATCGAGCATTTCCATGGCCAATGATGAGACGTTTGCGTACAAACTATTTAGATGTGGGGGCACGGTATTCATAGCAGTACAAGACACAACGAATGCATTGAGCGCGTGAGCCGGAAGGACGTTGCCAGGCGCATTTATGAGACCAAAGCTTAAACGGTGGCTTCCAGTGAAACAAATATCGTCAAGAGAACTTCAGCTGAGTTGAAGAGCGAAGGCCATAAACAGCGCATCTTACATAACCTCACTTTTAGCGAAGCCGCACACGTTCCCATCTGAAAGCCCGTTGTTTTGTGCAAGCCAACAGGGCAGCAATACGATACTAAAGATACTTCAGCCATTCGCATCATGCGAAGCACGTTCTAACCTTAAAAAGATAGGTGGTCTACAGGGCATCCCATTTGGGAGTCCCTGTTCCAAATGGGATGCAACAAGAATGGCAAGCGATCGTTTCGGAAAACGGCAACACCCCGGTACGGAGAGCGGTTGCAAGGTCTTACTTCGTTCGGTGAACGGTCCGGCGAGACCAGACACGTTCTGTGGTAACTATGCTGGTCTGAGATGTGTTGATGTATAAGAGATCGTGCGCTTTTCACCAGAAACACTAATTTAGTTCCAGAAACAGACTGATCAAAGTGGTGAAGTCCAGCGTTAGCGACTCTTTTTCTGGAGATGACTTCATCGGCACGAGGTGAGGTCCCAAAAGGCGCTGTTATGTAGCTCGGTACTGTCTTGCAGTCGGCTGCCGCCGGCCTTCCCGCCTCAGGAACCAACAAGAAAAGCTCGTTTGTGGCGTCGTACGTGCAAGCCCTGTAAGGATCGAACCTCACGAACGCCATGGCCACTGATCGCTCATATTGTCCCTGCAGTCGTGACGCTCTATACAGAGGCGCGCGGCGACATGTGTCGCGTTGACGTCATGCAACATAGTGGTATAACGGGATTACGAAATTTGAGGGGCATGACAATTGCAGGCAGCGTTAGCACGAAATACATAAATGAACGAAGATGTGTGTGAATAAGTAGTTACTTCCAGTCTCAACAACTTTGTTTAGTTAACCGCGTACAAATTGACGTGATTTTCCCTCGATTCCTGGCATTCATTTTTTTTTCATGTGCTCTATTATACTGTACACCTTCAAACTTTTGGTTTACAATGAGGTTGGTGGGTGGGTAGTGATGCGTTCACATATATAAAGAGTTGTACAGTTGAAAATATGGTGGCGCTGTTGGCCATTATAGCATTTTGACGACGTAAGCTATGCACAACATTATAAAACTGCCAATATTTCCGCTCTCTTGCGTCCTTGGCAGCATTGTGGTACCAGACTCCATGCCCAGTTCTCAGGCAACATATGGCATAAATATGTTTGGAGAGCCGATGCGGGAGGTGACTTCATCCAACGGTTTTTCGAAAACAGCAAAAAAAAAAAAACGCTGGCAGCAACACCTTTTCAGCACCTTTTTATCAATCTGGCATCTTTTGTGCAAATTTTAAGCATTGGTCTGCCTAGGTCATAGGCCAGGTCAAAGACGTCAACATCCAAAAAACTTTGACCTCATATTTTTGTGGTTCATTTACCACTGTTCAACTTGTTATATTACTAGAACATCATAGCACCTCCTCTTTTAAAATTTATTCCGAATGGTTTGTAAGGGTGACTTCGGATTCAGAGTACCTGCTAAGCATAGCTTGTTGCGTGTACCCCGAACCCACCACCCAA